ACTGCTCTGATATGTGTCATTAAGTTATGTTCATGAGGTGCAGAAGAAAGAGTAAATGGATGAAATTCGTTTGTTCCTAATGCTGGACATGCAATTCTTATCCATTGTCCACATTTGTATTGAAAATTTTGAGGTTTTGCAAAAGTTATACATGTTACACCTATATATCATATATTGTACAATAACATTCATAAATATAATTATAATAATAATTATTCATATGGATTTTAATGTCTTACCTGAGGGTAGAATGCCTGCTTTTAATATTGGTATTTCTATCGTTTTCCTTGTCATTGTAAGTATTTTGTTTAGGACAAATAGTATTGCTGGACCCAAAAAGAAATAATGGAAATATGGTTCCTGTTATTAAACATAATAATTATATTAATTATTAAATTAAAAAAAAAGGAACAAACACACACAAGTAATTAATTTTATATTATAAAAATGATAAATACTTGAACTAATCTTCCTGTACCATGTAGAATCATAAGGATATAAAAGACTGGATATAAAGAATGAGTGAAGGAAAAATAACTATAAAGTCTTCTTCTTACAATAGGCAATGAAAAAAAAAAAATTATACCAGTCAGTATAGTCAACAATACACCAGTTATGCCTGTTAATGTTTGAAACATCCAATAATGGAATTTTGGAAGTTCGTCGGTTCTAAATAAAGACAATTATTTTTATATGATCATTTTTTATCATACGTTATATAGAAATAAAATACGTACGAATGAAAGTAATTAGGGAACAAACATGTCAGATCATCGGCTGTTTGTGTTGAGATATGATAGAAATTGAAACCGTGTCCAATGACGTGTAATACTACATTATAACATATATTACTGAACTAAATTAGCAGAAGTTAAAATATATTTTATGAACAATATATATAAACTTTTTATCAATGAAAGAAAAATATATAATAAAATTCATACCGGTAAATATAAGAGCCCAATATGCGATATATTTATGCATGTCGATCATAGAATCAAAAGGAATATAATATTGTAAAATTGTATCTCTTAGTAAAGTGTTGATGTTGTGACATGTCATAATCAAAAGTGATGAATATGCAAACATCATAGCCGATGCTGCCCCTCTTGTAAGTGCTAAACCATATCCTAAAATTTGTCTCAAACCTGTATGTTCTCGTTCTATTGAATAATCTGTAAATGATTTTGAACGATTTTAATTTAAAAGTGATTTTTATTTTTAATTAATTTTAAGTGTTTCTCATGTTTGGGATATAGAACGTATTACATATTGTTATAAGAAAAAATATGAAAATAATGAAGATACTTACGGTATGCGCGTTCTATAAATATTAAAAGTAAGATCTCAGTGTACAGAGACATCCAAAATATTTGTAATCGTTTATTGGCAAGATATTTCATTATTGGATACCAATAAATATCTGTATATTCGTTGGTATCATCTACGATCTTTTGATTATCGATTGTTTCCTTCTCCCTTTTCCAATCCATATTTTTTTTTGTAATTTTACCCTCAACTCTTGATTCCAAGTCATCCAGATCCATATACAAGCTATCCACTGTTTTTTGTACTTCTCCTACAAACGATGATTTGACAGTTCCAATTCCTGCATGTAACTTCCTTGTTTTTCCATCAGAATTAACGTTAAATTCTAATTCGATATAGTTAAGTTTATCATTAAATTCTCTAAGTAGATATTTAAAATCTATTAAATTAATAGTCTCTTTAGAAGCCATATTAACTTGGTTCATCATTGAATGAAGAAGATTTTCTAATTCATCATTTGTTACATCAGTATTGACAGTTTCTAAAAAGGATCTAACAACAAAAACACATTATCAAGAGTTTATTTGGATTCACGTATGCATGCAAAGTAGAGAGAAAGTAAAAATAGCATCAAACCATTACTTTAACATCATCATAAAATCTTTTTTTGTAAGTCTTCCTGTACCATTTATATCATACATATCAAACATAAATTTCATCTTTTCTTCTGCACTACCTTTGAGGAATATTACCAACATATCAACAAATTCACGGAACGATATAAAACCATTTTTATCTTTATCGACCAAATTAAATATCTAAAAAAATCAAATTGTTATTACGATGCATAATAATTAAATTTTATGATTTATTACCTTTTTAACAAATTCTGCATCCGGTCGCATACTTAATGATTCTGCAAATTCGGAAATAGTCAATTCCGTATAAATCACTTCTTTTGCAATATTTGAACCTATTTGCAATATTTCATCTTCAGTATGCACTATATGAAATGCCTGCAATGTTGTAAATATTAAAAAATGTTACAAAAGAAAATCAAGAATTTCATGTAATAAAATTTAATTTTAATTCGTTATAGAATTATACCTGTGCAAAGACAACACGAAAAAATTTTTCTAATTTATCTTGACGATCTTTCTTCGTAGTAGCTTTCTTCAACATTTCCGCGCTATTAATATTTGTAATTTTTTTCAAAGATTTTATAAAAATATCAGAAATAAATTTTTCAAATGTTTTGAGAAATGAAGTTTTTGAATGGAATGAATCAAATTTGAGTACTAAATCATAATTGTGTTGAACTTGAATCATAATATGATTGCTGTCAGATGGAACATATATCTAAAAATAAGATCAATCTTTTCTATATATCCGAGATAAAAAATATATTTTTAATAAAAAGATTTAATATTAATCATAAGTACTTTTACTACGTTGTCATGCGTAAAATCAATGACCCTCGTTATCTTTCCAACAACATTTTGTAATTCAAGTAGCTTTTTTTCTCTATCGAAAATAACAAATACAAGTTTTGTTTCCAATCTTCGGCCCTGCCATTCGGTAGCTGTGAAAATACGATTATTAACATAAAATAATATTATGAGAAAATAGTTATTTAATAAATATCTTACCTGTACATATCGGCCTTTTACTTTCTCTCACAAGAAGTGTTATACGGCATTTGGATTGATAATTTATTTGTTTCTTTTGTTTAAAATGTAACTTGTAAAGAAGAAATATAACTATTCCTATATGGGAAATTATTATTTTAGTCATATAAGGATATATGGAATATAATATTAATTATTTTTATAATAATATAATAATTTTCATAATATATACCGAAAAAAATTCCAGTTAATCCTGTAAATGTAAGTACAAAAGATATTTCGCTATTGTTAAAGTAATCATAGGTTTTTAAATTAGTACATTTTTCGACGTTTGTTACATTAACCGATGGAGCACAATAACATTTGTTTTCGTTAATGTTATTTTGTTTCTTTATCAAGTTACAACAATCATTTCTCAATACACCTTTACAGATTTTGCTTATATAATTATCTGAAAAAAAATAACGTATTTTACAAAAAGTTATATTTTGATATCTATATAGTATAGGCGAATGTTTTACGTACCATCGGCAGGAATTAAAAAAGGATTTTGTGGAATATCATCGTACTCCATATCGGTTACAGATATCAACATATCATAGAATGATAACTTTTCTAATCTATGTATTTCACTTTGTGTAAATAAACTAAACAGTAGAATATATTACATCTGTATAATTAATTAATTATTTTTTTCCAAAATACATAGATTTAAAGAATTGTTGTAATGTAGTGTAAAAAGTATTGTACGTACCCATTTTTTTTATTCTTATACCAAAATCTATCTCCTGCGCGTATACGCACAAATTGATCGGTGATAATTTTTTGAAATAATTCTCCGGGATTATCACGAGTTTCTAATATTCCACCGACCCAAACGTCAATATTATCGACAGAGTTATTGTATAATTTAAATAATTTGGTAATCTAATATCCGGACAACATACGAAAGATTATTTAGTAACATATAGAAGAAAATAGAGATTTACAAATTTTTTATCGTACCTGTGGGTTAATCTTATGTAATGTCAAAGTTTTAAAATCTTCAATGTTTTTAATTTTAGTTAAATTATATTCAACCCGTGCAGTATTATAATCAGGTAATCCATGATCTCTGCCTCTTTGTATATTGAGGGCCATTAAATCTCTTCTTGAAAATTCAAGTGGTCCAAATAAATGACCGCGTAAATCTTCTATTATTTTATGATCTTCTTTTTCACTTAATTGCACAGCCATACCCATTATTAACTGATCGATATTGAGACGAATATTTAATTTTGATTCATTTTGGAACAAAGAATTCTAGAAAATAACTTTTAATAAAATAAGAAATTGGTATATAACAAATTGATAACAAATTGATTTTTTATAGAGCAATACCTTTGGCATCCAATAATTGTTACATGTTCTAATAGCTCGTGCATTAAGTTCTAACTTACATTCATGTCTTGCATAATTTCGTAAATAAACACCTGTTTTGATGCGAATGTGTGATTAATGCAATTTATATGTTTAAATACACATATATAAATACATTCATAAAATTAAATATCACAACTTGTGTTTTTAAATAGAATTTCAATTATTTCTTTTTAAGTAGGCCATGAATTAAATTCATTATTTCGTGTATAATTTTTTGAACCTACCAGCTGGTACTAAAGTGTGGCCATAACGAAAGGCAGCAGCTTGAAAAAACTGATCTATTTGTGGATCGATATTAGGATCATAGCCTATAATAAATATATAACATTTGATAAAGCTCTTTTTAATTTTAAATATATAAGATAATCGTTTTGTGTAACATATCATTCAGATTTTGTTTTAATAGTGATCATTGGTATTTTTATTCTTACGTTCGTATGGTGGTAATTTCTTTCCTAGCCACTCTTTTATCCATTCATTGGTAATTATATGCTGTTGCGTCGCAATTACCCATTTACGAGCTTCATTGTAAATTTTTTCACTCGTCCAATTTTTATGTTGACTCTTTATGAATCTCGCAATATAGTTGTGCCATCTGAACCAAATTATTCCAAATGTCAAAAGAAACGGATTTTCATTCCCCCTTGGATTTCCTAATTCTAAAACAAAGATTAATGCACACAAATTATTAAATATTTCCTTAAAAATGTTAACCATTTATTTCTTGAGACGATCACTATTATCAATATCTCATTTCGTACAAAAAAGATCTCTTAGATCCATTACCAAAATGACTGTAAGAGACGCATTGAATTTGGCTCTTGACGAAGAATTAGAACGAGATGAAAAAGTATTTATTATGGGAGAAGAAGTTGCAGAATTTGATGGAGCATATAAAATAACACGAGGACTTTGGAAAAAGTATGGAGATAAAAGATTAATTGATACACCAATAACCGAGGCAGGTTTCTGTGGTATAACCATTGGAGCTGCATTAGCTGGATTAAAACCAATTTGTGAATTTATGACATTTAATTTTTCTATGCAAGCCATGGATCGAATAATAAATGCAGCTGCTAAAAGTTGTTATATGAGTGCAGGAAGATATCCTGTATCTATAGTATTTCGTGGTCCAAATGGTAATGCTAAAGGATTAGCGGCTCAGCATTCACAATGTTTTGGAGCTTGGTATATGAGTGTTCCTGGCTTAAAAGTTATGTCTCCTACAAGTTGCGAAGATTATAGAGGTAGTTTGAAAGCTGCTGTAAGGGATCCAGATCCTGTCTTAATTTTGGAAAGTGAAATTCTTTATAATTTTGAATTTCCTCTATCGGATCAAGCTATGGACAAAGATTTTGTTATACCAATAGGTAAAGCAAAAATAGAAAAATCTGGAAAGCATATTACGTTAATTACTCATGGTCAAGCGACAGTATATACTATGCAAGCAGCCGATATTTTAGCAGGACAGGGAATTGAGGCTGAAGTTATTAATCTACGCTCTCTTAGACCTCTTGATTGGGAAATGATTTTTAAATCTATCAGTAAAACACATAGAGTAATGACAGTCGAATTAGGTTGGCCTAGGTGCGGAGTAGGTTCTGAAATAGTTGCGACTATTATGGAAAATCCTATTTTCTTTGAACTGGATGCACCAGCAATTCGTTGTACTGGAATAGACGTTCCGATGCCTTATTCAGAACCAATTGAATACGAATGTACCCCAAAAGATCATCATATTGCTAAATTTGCTAAGAAAGTTTGTGGATTAAAAATTTGAATATTTTCATCATCGTGCAAGTAAAATTATACTTACTGAAGTATCTATTAACATTCTCCGTATAATGTCGGGAAACGTATTTATCATGTCTGATCGGAGGTGGTGGATTTGCCATTGGTAATCTAATTGTGTTTATTTCTGGATACTGATACGAATCTTTAGAGGTTGCAAGTAAACCATTTGTATCAATAGTTCCATTAGCATATGTCCTTAATATATTTGACCATGCTTTAGTAGTACCATAAATTAATCCTCCATCTATATATGGTGTTATTTCATTTAACTACAGAATAACAAAATTTTATATAAATAAAATAACAATTCAACAAATTATTTATCAAGTGTTATTATTATTTTGTTTTTTTTTTTAATAAAAGTTTAAAATAACTGAACCTGTTGCCGTGGATTATTTGGAGAAGTACCTGTAGATTGGTCATAACGTGTACGCAGTACAGGCATTTGCTTAATTTTACCTTCAGGTTTTGTCATTTCTATGTTAATATATTCAGGAGGACATGCTGGTCTTTGGGCATCCAATATTTCTTCCACAACTTGTTGACCTACATAATATGTTAATCAGTTATCCTATTCATATTTATATTTAATTTAATAATCATCACTATTCACATGATTGTTAAAAGATTTATTCACATACCAAAAAATACTTGCAATACATTTCTTTTTCTTACAGATTCAGATCCAATTTCTCCACTTAATAATTCTCTACTTATATCCAATGGATTTGGTCTACTTTTCAAATTAGGTTTATATACTCCATCTTTATAAGCTGCAGGCAATCTTCTTAAAAGTTGTGTGTCGACTGCGCCAACTTCTGGTCGACCAATATTATTGTACCATCCATCATATCCAGGATATTCAATTGAACCTGGGTCACGGTACTTGAACGGGTGTTTAATATGTTCATCTGGCTCCCAATATCCAGTAAGTAGCCATTGAATTAAATTTTCTTTATTTTTACTCAAGTCAGGTTTGTCAAAAGGAGCTGATAACAAGTATATAATTAAAGTAACAAAAAACATATATACAAATTCTTTATATGCGTATTACATTTAAATTATAATGAATTATTTCTACTTACTTATTGGTTTTTTCATAGGCGTTGTCAAAACAGGAGTTTCAGTTACAGTTACAGTTTCTTCATTATTTAAATTTAATTGAACAGTTAAAACGGGCAAATATAATAGTAAAAAAATCATTTTTTTTAATATACTTTAATAGAATATTTTAACTAATTTGTTAAATCTTATTTATTTGTGTTTGTTATAGTTTTATAATATTTTAATGAAATTAACTAGAGGATAATAAAAACGACTACTAAAAGGAATGATTTACTTATACAATGCAATTTTGAATTCTTTTAGAATATGATAAAGGAAAGCAGGAAAACCACAAGATATGAATCATCGAAGTTTTTTAACGTAGAATTTAAGTATTTTTATGATCATTCAATTTGAATATAATATAAATTAGAGAAGAAAGAAGTACAACTTGTTAAATATTATACGAGCATTACAGATAATTGAAAAATGCACGCAGCGAAGAAGAAGATTCTATGCTTTGCTATAATTTCACGGACGTCACTACTAATTTTACAATTCCTTTTTAATATTATATTTCCCGATCACAATGCAGATGCTTTTAAAAGTCCTCCTGATATTCACGAACATGTTTCTAATTATGACATTACAATTAGGTTTTTATTCGACGGTTTAATAAAATGGGATGCAGAATATTTCATACACATAGCAAAGTATGGATATACTTATGAAAACATGCTTGCTTTTTATCCATTATATCCTGGAATTATTCGAATTACTGCGATAATAATAAGAAAGATATTTTTTATATTTAACGTTCACAGTTCTTTGATCCTTGCAGCTATACTAATTAATTATTTATGTTTCATTAAATCGGTATCTATTTTTTTTGACCTCAGTAAATTAGTATTAAAAAATACTAATATAGCATATAAAGCAGCGATATTATATTGCATAAACCCGGCCAGTATATTTTTTTCTGCCGCATATACCGAAACTATTTTTGCATATTTCACTTTTTATACCATGCTAGAAAGTATACAAAATAATATATTTACAGTTGTTCCCTTAGGATTATCTACTCTTGTAAGATCGAATGGCATTGTAAATGTCGGTTTTTTAATATATTTTAGATTTAGAAGTATATTTAATACGTTGACGTTAGAAATCAGTTCGAAAAAAGATCATATTTCCATTATAAAATTATGTAATTTAATTGTAAAGAAAAGATTCATACTAATTATAAGTATGTTTCAATTGTTGATAATAGTCATTTTATCTTTCATTCCATTCATTGTCTTACAAATATATAATTATACGACATTTTGTAAAAGCGAATTAAATATGCCGATATTACCAACTCATATTGTAGATTATGCTACAAAAAATAATTTAATATTGCAATACAATAGTACTTCTTCTACATGGTGCCATGCACAAATACCCATGGCTTACTCATACGTACAAGAAAAATACTGGAATATTGGTTTTTTAAATTATTACAAATTAAAGCAGATTCCTAATTTTATTTTAGCTTTACCGATATTATACATTATGATCAAATGTATCATAGAATTTTATTCGGAACATAAAATGCAATTCTTTTCCTTAGGACTTGTAAATATAAAGTATGAAAAAAATAAAATAGAAAAAAAATATCCAGCGGAGATGTTTGTATTCGTAATACATGGAATATTTTTAACAATATTTTGTATTTGTTTTGTACATATTCAAGTAAGCACACGTTTATTATGTTCTGCTAGTCCTCTTGTTTATTGGTATTGTGCATTATCTTTATCTCGTGTACTAAAGTTCGATAGTGCAAGTGATTCGATATCCAAACGTGAACAAAATTTACTTTTTAATTCGAAAATATTATTTTTATTTAAACAAAACTATACCATAAGAGATAAACTTATATTATTATATTTTTTAGGATATACAATCATAGGATGTTTTATGTTCGTAAATTTCTTACCATGGACATGATTTACATTTTATTTGAAATCTTTGTATATTATTTATATATAGAAAAATGTACAAATATATATAATTATATATCTATATTTTTTGTTTTTTCTGCAGAAACAAAATTGAAAATCAATTTATTAACAATATAACATGCTATTCACGGCATGTTTGCTTTTATATGTTGTCTCTTATGCTTCAATATTTCGATAGGCGTGAGATGTAAAGCTTTTGAACATTCAGGACAATTGTAAGTCTGACTGTTGGGTTTTACCTTTACGTGTTCTATTTTATTAGTAGTTTCTTTCACCGATGATTGCATACAAGTACTTTGATGTTGAAGTTTTTCAATACTAGTGAAAATAGTTTCTAGATTGCATCGTTGACAAGTCCAGGTAGTTTCACACATATCAACAGCTATTTTGTCACTCCAATCAGTTTCCTTTATACTATATTACCAAATTAAAAATATTATTAAATTATATTACAACTGATCAATGTGTGTGCACAAATTTTGTACCAATATTTTCATACCAATTATATGTAATATTCTCAGTCAAGTGCACTCCTCCTTTTATTGAATTAAATACGGGCTTGAAATCAAGTTTAAAAGGGTTAGGATCAATATGTACAGCATTTTCGTCATTCCCAACGTATATTATCTTTAAATCAGCAGGTAAAAGACGCTTTATAACGTATGGAACTGTTGTATGCATATAGTCAATTAATTCTTGAGTAAGTTCATATTCTATATCACTAATGTTAGACATATTGTTTGCAGTCCCTGATTCTAAAAAATAACGGATCAATTAGTATTCTTTTTCAAATTCTTTTCAGCTTTATTTTTTTATTATACCTTTCAATCTTTCATTTAAAAGAAATTCCCACTTGTGACGTAGCCCAGTAGATTTCATCAATAATGTTTGTCCGGTATCAGGCACAGGAAATTCTAATAGCAGCCATGCATCGCACACTATCCTAAAATTTCAAATAAATATATTTATACGTTTGTAACAGATTTATCAATGGATCGATGCAATCTAGCAATAATTTTGTATGGACTTACATTGAAAAAGTAGCATTAGTATCAATTTCTTGCGCGAACAATAACAATGTTTGTGCAGCAGGCATTCTAAGTGTGTTTACCAAATAAGGTTTTGTAGTTTCTAGTAGAGATCTGTGTGTTATATATAATATATAATATTTAATAAATAATTAGATAAAAATAAAAATACAATAGGTGATTGGTTAACAAACAAAATCCATTTAAAGATAATGTTTGTTACTCGAATTTTTTTTCATTAACCAATCACCCACTGTATAATTAATATCATTTATATTTATATTGTTTAATAGAAAAAATACTTACAAATATGTTAATAATTGATGCTTAGAACTAACAGGAGTTTTGCTTTTAAAATTCGGTATCGATATTATATCATGTTCCTCAAGTTGCAGAACTTGTGGATAATTACCAAAGAAACTCATTGGATGTAATGCAACATATGGTTTAGTTTTTGTATGAAACAGCTGCTCGCTTGTAGACTGAAACATTTTAATATAAATGGCAATAATAATATAAATAGATAAGTTACATTAATTTACAAAAAGTAATATTTTTTACCTTGCAATAATTGAATTCATCAGCACATGCGAATTGTGGATACAAACCACTACAAAGTATTAATTTTAACATCATTAAATCTTTATAACTACACGCAGTAGCCGCAGTTAAAAGATTTTGAACTTGATTTGCATCATTTTTCATCCGAAATTCAACATCTTTTATGTCTATTTCATCATCGTTATTATCATTATCTTCTAGTTGTATATCAAATGTGTCTACTTTTAATTGTTTACGTTTCCTAGGCGCACTTTGTTTATAGGTTTGTTTAAGTGATTTTAAAAGTTTTAATTCACCATGTCGTATTGCTCGTTCGGCACTGGTCATAGAAGAATTTGGTTCAGCTAAACTTTTTAATAGACCGCAATCCTGTATATCGCAATAAACGATTTCATCAATTAATTTTTGAGATATGAAATGTACCAGTCAAATATTGATGGATTATTTAAACTAACTTGAAGTAATTCTTTAAATTGCGTTCGTAATTTGATCATTTCATAAAATCTTTGTTCCTCTAAGCCTCTTCTTTTACACCATTTTCTACTGTTATTTCCACTTCCTCTAGATTCGTGTGTACTTTGTTGTTTAACTTCCAACCATTCTCTAAATGCATTTAATAACGTTATAGGATCACCATGGTCAGATTCTAACTTTTTCCTAGACGTCTTTAACAATTTTTAAGTATAATTAAAAACAACTATAATAATTATAAATAATTTAACATTCTTACCTCACATTCTATATCTTTATAGGCTCTATTGGTAAAAGGAGTTTGTATGCTTAAAGCAGCGGCAAGCGATAATACTGGTTCAACTTGATGAAAAATAGAACCCATTAATAACATCTTTCCTATTCTAATATCAACTGGGAGACGTGATAATGTTTGACCAATAGATGTTAATTTTTCATCATTCGTTAATGCTCTCTAAAATGAAAAAGGAGATAGCTAATTCATATAATAGATAAACGTTGATTCAAATTTATAATCGGCTAAAAGTATGGATTATTTACGTGTTCTTTTAACGATAATATTGAATTTTCTACGCTTTCCGATGGCGGAGGTTCTATGAATGGAAATTTTCTTGCATCTGGTAATCCCATAGCAATCATTTGTAACAGTAAAGAGTCTAAAGGAACACGTTGGATCTCAGGTGTTGTATATTCTTCAAGAGCCGTGTATTCTTCTTCGGAATAAAGTCTGTAGATAATTGTTATTACAATATTTTTGTTAGTATACACCGTTTAGAAATGTTAACATACCTGTAACATACACCAGGTCCAGTTCTACCAGCACGACCTTTCCTCTGTTCTGCACTAGCCTTACTGATCCAGAATTCCTTAAGACGTTCCATTTTACACAAAGGATCATAACTCATCTCTTTGACTTTACCGCTGTCGACTACAAATCTAATTCCATCTATGGTAATAGAAGTTTCAGCAATATTTGTAGATACAATACATTTTCTCACTCCATCTGGAGCATAGTCGAATACCTGAAAAATATATATTTCATTTCTGAGATACTTTCGATAATTAATATTATAAAATTTGTTTAAAATTTTATCTCATTTTATACTTTATCTTGATCAGCAATAGAGAGTGAGCTATGTAATGGTAAAACAATCCAATTATTTTTTTTCACGCTATATTCCTTGGCAGCATCTACGACTGCAGTAATTTCTTTCATTCCGCTCAAAAATATTAATAAATCACCTTTTTCATCGGCTGAAAATAAATGAAATCATTATTAATAATAATAATTTTTGTACAAAAAATTTTTGTAAAAATTGTAATATTATTTTTAGATAAAATATATCTTTACCTGGATATTTATGATCAATCATTTGCATTATTTGTACATAGGGACTGGGATTAAATCTATTATTCTTATATTTAATATCTTCTATTGTAATAGGTCGGAACAATAATTGAATGGGATATAATCTTCCAGGAACCTAAATATCCCAATGAATAATTTGAATGAACGATAAGTATGCGTTACTATTGTTTTATGTTACAAATATATATTTATATTGTTTAACCTGTATCACTTTAGCATTCTCCTTGGAAAAATAATCGCTAAACAATTGTATGTTGATGGTAGCAGACATCAGTATCAATTTTATATTAGATTCTTGATGTATAATACATTTCATGACGCCTAATAGGAAGTCACCATGTAAATTGCGTTCATGTACTTCATCCAATACAACAATGTCGTATGGTAATAATCCAGATTCACCAGATACCTACAGAGTTAGTAAATCTCTAATTTGTATATATGAAAAAATGATTAATACGTTATTATACGTTATAGTATATTATAATACATTATCATTCCGATCAGAATAATTTGTACCTGTCTTAAAAGTAAACCCTCTGTAATAAAAGTTATTTTAGTTTCTTGCGTTTTTTGTTTTTCAAAGCGAATCTGATAACCAACTTCATTATGATTTTCAGTCAATGTTTCAAAAGCAACACGCTTTGCCAAAGATATACACCCTATTCTTCTAGGTTGTGTACAAACTAAAAATGAATATATTGATTATTCTGTGCAATGTTTAATAAAAAAATGTAAATAAAATATCTTACCAATTTTGTTGAAACCAGCAGAATATAAATATTGTGGAACTTGCGTTGACTTTCCGCAACCAGTATCACCAGCAATAATAACAACTCTTTCTTTTTTAATTGTTTCAATAATTTCATTCTTATACTGAGCAACCGGTAGATTGGCCTGCGTTTCTCGAAGTTTCTTTAATTTAGTAAATTTTTCTTTTTGTTTAAAATCTAAATATAAATTAATGATATATTTAAATTTTAATAATTGTTCTTTAGTCAATGCTTTAGTTTCAGGAACTCTGGCAAACAATTCTCCAAAAGTTAAATTTAATTTAAAATTTATACAGTGTGCTTTGTGATATACTTTTGGTACCCCAAGCGTATTCAAATCATAGACCGGTCCTGCATCATTCGCATTACTCATTCTTTTTTCTATCATTTCATATTTATGAACAAATTTCCAAAAGTCATTTGTATCAGAAATTAAGTTAGCATTTGCTGTAAATACTTTATTCAATTCGTTTGTGTATTTGCTAAAAGAAAAATGTTTATGATCGTGTTGGGACTTATATTGGTCATTAGTTAAATCCATTTGTTTATATTCATCATTATTTTTATATCCTTGCGAGGTCGAATGACCAAACGAGCTGTGCTTGTGTTTTTTACTTTCAACATTATTGTCATCTCTTTCGTGATATCTTTTTTTTTTTATATTATAGTCCGAATCATTTTTAACGCGATTAGAGTGATGACTAGACGACATGATTTTTTAATAAATAGATTTTAAATTGAAATAATTATTAAAATGCATATTTTCAAATGGTATACAAACTGTGATACTTTTATAGTTCTTTTTTTTCACATATATATCTTGATTCACATAAATTTTTGCAAAAGTATATACAGATTACAGAAGTATTGATAACATCGAGTATACAATTAATGACGTACGAATTTTAAGATTGATTATATATTCAAGTAAATAAAAATGATATAAAAGTCACTTTAAAACTATCCACCATTTTTTTTCGAACACGTGTGACTTCAGCGACGCGCGTGAATGAAATGTGAACGACAGTGGTCCTCATAACGCATAACAGTGTCAGTCGGTACATAAGCTTGTGTAGGTTATAAACCTTTACGTGTAAAATAATTTACGAATTTATGCACGCGAGAAATATAAATTAATTTAATTAAGACAAGTAAATTAATTAATACGCTTCGCTCGTCTAATTAATATGCGCTTATTTTTCCGATCGTTCGCGTTGTCTACATAAACACGTGGCCTAATATATTTAAAAATAGTTTGAATAAGAAAAAAATAGTTTAACATTTGTTGATTATGAGCTTATGGTTTTCATCAATATTTCGTTATTCTCGATTTATTACAGCAAATAAAGTAGCATTATCCTTTACATTCATGGCATCTCGAACTAAGACAGATCGAGTTTTAGAAAACTTGAAAAGTAATCCTTACTTTGATAAGTATGCGAAGAAAATAGCAAAACTTCAAATGATAAATCCAGAATTATTAGAAGAACGTATCGGAGAACAAGAGAAAAAAATACAAAAGAAAAAAGGTAACGTATCTACTTTCATGTAGTTTTAATTATTTCTATTTTTGTTATCGCAAATAGTGTTCGTTGAGATATGACAAAATAATTTTAATTCATCACACAGACATTCTGGTTTAAGCATGTTACCACCTATCTATTATTTTAATGGATTAATTTATTTCACATGTAGGTCTTTTGTATCTTTCTGTATTGTAGAAACACAAGAACAAGAGCGTAATTTATATCAAGCTAAAGCCAAAACAGAAGTGTTACAACCATCACCTATCAAAGAAGCATGTCTCAGTGATATTATGAACATAGAGATGATAAAGGGAAAAACTAAAGAAGAAATTGGTGAAATTTGGATGGAGTATCATAAGCAGAAAGATTATATTTGTGCGATAATAGAATCGGAGCAATATGAAAAGATACTTGGTTATGGAAGTAAATATCCTTTATTTCTCTTACCATTACCAAGGAAACAGGGCTACGAATTTTTCTTAAGTCAATTCCAAGGGAATAAAGTTTACATGACGTCCCTGTTATGGTATCAGACTCACAAGGAGAATGCACCAGAGTGTTTAACCCTAACGCATTATACAGAATTCAAGGATAGCATGGGAATAGTATTGATGCGTGGTGAATTCGATTTAAATTTCTTAAATTGTCAAGAGGCACAGTGTTTAACCAATGAACTACAGTTATATTACATTGGTAAAAATTCACAGAGGCTGGAATTATTGGAAACGTTTAATAATAATCCTAATAATTTCAAGTACAACGATCTTATAAATCAGTTGGAAAAAATATCTTTTTAAACGTTTTTGTACATAGTTGGTGTTTTACACAAGAGTAGTCATGTTTTATGTATATTTTTATTAGAGCAAGTATAAAAGATATATTAAATATTGTTCAAGAAGTTAAGTTAATATAAAATAATGATGTTTTCATTATTAACACATTGGAGACCTGTAGTAACAGATAAGTCTGATATCTTGTAAATTCTTGATTTCTTTAACACATTTCGTCGAATTAAGAAAAAAATTCATAGGGATCATCGCAAAGGTTTGTATTGTATTTTTAATTATTTTTTTTGTTTTATTAATCATACAATTATCAAGCAAGACCGATAAATGTCCAAATAAACAATAGAAATCTTGGACGTAACATGTTCTTTATATTTCTTTTGCACTTTTTCCTGGTTTAACGATTGTAACTAAATTTTTGTTCTTCTTTCGATATTACTTTTTCAATTTTAATTTTGAATTCACTAATATTTCTTGAAAGAGTAGTAATTGTTATTGGAAATAAAGTCATTAAACAATGAGAAATTCTTTAATTGTTTCTTTTTAAGATTTTAAAATAAATAAATAAAAAAAAGAAATTTTTAAAATTAAAGATTTTAGATTTAAAGATATTAAAAGAATATAATAAAAAAGAAATATACATGCTATGCTAGATGAACCAAGAAGAACAATTGAAAATAATAATATGTCATACGTTATACTATCGTTGTATCATTAAGAATTCAATAGCGATTTATGACGGACATTACGTCGAATTTCGCTTATTAAAAGGATTATTTATTTTAATCTACTGAATGAAGCACTAATTTTGAGTTATCGTTCCCGCTTGAAATAGAAAGAGTGAGTGAGTGAGTGAGTGAGTGAACGAATGAGAATGAGAATGAGAATGAGAGAGAGAGAGAGAGAAAGATTATTAAATTATATCAATTATATCTATTATATATATATATACATTTTATATACGTACATTATCTCAATTAATACACAATGGAGATGAAAGCAGATTAAAAATATAAAAAAAGAGAGAGATGTAAAAACGTGATATCTCGTTATGGGGAATAAAATTGCTTTCGCGTTGCGTCAATTTTTTTTTTTTATTCTGCAATTTGAGGTGAAAACAAAAAAGGAAAAAAACACACAATGTACTTACGTAGAGAGACAAGTGAGCAAAAAAAAAAAAAAGAGGAGGGAAAATAAATACGAGAGCGAGCGTTTCGAAGGATAATTTGTTCGTACGAGGAAGAGCGTATACGCGCGCGTGGTCTGTGGCAATACAAAAAAAAAAGAAAAAAAAAAGAAAAAGAAGAAAAAAAACGGGTAGAAAAAGAAGAAGAAGAAAAAAAAAAATGTATTTAATCGCGTTATAGTTAGGGAAGGAGTAACAAAATGTTCGAAGTTTACAGGGGATCGTTAAGCGCGTTATACGCATCGTTTGTAGTACATCCCCGTCAAATATCGTTATTGTAGGTGGAAAAAAAATACGATGGTAGTGGAAGAAAAATATGATGTATATATATGATATAGATGCAAACATAAGAAAAATTCTTATGTTTATTTATAATAAGTATTGTTTTTTGTGAGAGTACAATAAAAAAAATAAATATTTTATTCATGTCAATGTAAATACAACAAAGTATTGCAAGACAGTGGTAGTGTCTTTATTATACTGCTAGCTGTGTTTTCTAAAAATTTTTGTAAAAATTTACTTTTTACTGATGCATTATATATATATATATTTTTCTTTTTTCCTATGCAACGAGAAGAAAATGTCTCGTATTACGTTTAATATGGATGATAATAATGATGATGATGATGGTTCGTTCGGTTGTTTTCGGTTGGACTCGGCTCGATAGAGGGTAGACAAGCAGGTGGTTTGTTGTTTGTAAGTACGCCATGCCGGTACCGTATATTCGTTTGTCTCTTTTTATGGGATATCTTTAAGGAGTAGTAATACTAGTACTAATATTACTCGATTATTTCTCACTTATGACACTTCGCAAAGTTGTAAAAAGAAGTCTTTGAATGTTTATTTGGTTCGCGTTGCTATATTTAATGATCTAATAATAGATACTCTTAAGAACGTCGTTCTTAACAGGTCGAAAGAATACGACGTGACACGTTTAAAAAAGATTGTGCCAGGTACATCTATGTATAGCTGTATACTACATGTGTTTAGAGGTGTAAGTAAATACACGAGTTAGGTGATGTATTTTTAGGAACTTTCTTAGAGAAACAGAGAGAGGGATGAGAGAATAAAACGAGGGAGGACGAGTGAAGGGGAAGACGTTATCTGAACGGCTAGTAGCGCGAGACCACAGTGGCTAACATTGATTTTCACGGAGGTTGGGGTTCTCGAAGGCCACAGCTAGAATGGAAGCTGCGGCCTTCGATTCTCTCTCCATTCACTACCCCTTGCTATTTTCATTCTTACCCTTTGAGCCACCCGGTTATATTATTTCTTTTATCTCTATCTTCTATCTGAAGTTGTAAGAAAAAAAAAAGCTTCTTAATTGGTTAGTTTGATTAATACTAAACTTATCAGTTTATTTATACACATCTTTACATCCTAGTTGTTCAACATTATCGTGGTTTTTTATTCAAGTTATAGTTATTACTATCGAATGCTGATATAATTTGGTTCGAATAATAAATTAAATAAATTTTAAGATATATATATATATATATAATTAGAATAGAAAATTGATATATCATTTGATTCGTCATAATGATATGGTTTAGTGTTAATAATAGAAATAAAAAAAAGAGTAGAAGTAGAAGGAGGTGGAGGAGGAGGAGGAGGAGGAGGAGGAAGAGAAGGAGAAGTAGAAGGAAAAGGAGAAGGAAGAGGAGGAGGAGAAGGAGATACGACGACGTTTTTAGATTTGTCTTTTCGGGATGGGTGTCGTTGAACAGTATCCTTTATAGGAAGGTATTAAAAAGGCGGGGGAAATCAGTTCTCCTCATCTAGCGTTCCAGTTTTTGTCGTCATTATTCTTCCCGCTTGGCAACATTCTAGAATGGCTGGCTCGTTCGTCCTCGTTATCGTAATTAACTTCTTCCAATTTTCCTATATTATTGGTTGCCGGCTGGAGCTGCTGGCCATTTGTAAATCGTTATTCGCTCGACACATTATATTATCCCTATGTTCGAAGCTCACGTACTTATGTTACTACGTTTTAACAAGATTTATTAATCGTACATAGTGAAAATCAATTGTGAATTATTATTCGCTACGGGTTAGATATTTATCGATAAAACGTATATTAAATATGTTAAATAAATATGATGAGATAAGGTAAGATATTATAAGAAAAGAGTGAAACAAATAAGGATCTATAGTAATTGATTGATCGATTGAAAGATCAAATTTTCCTTGCTCAACAACTAATTTTCCTTTTGTAATTTGGTAATAAGGATAGTAGTAGCCAAAGTTTAATGAAGTTTGTCTTAGTATTTAACGACAAAAGGTAGATAGGTACGCAAAGCCGAAGCTGTTGCAGACTTTAGATCCCTTAGTTTTGAAGTAAATCGTCAAACCTAACGAACTAACCACTAAAGTGGTGGTATTAATCTTCGTCGGTTTTGTTCACCAACAAAAACCTTCTTTTTCTTCTTCTCTCTCTCTTTCTTTCTCTTCAAGCCTTTTTTTCTTTTCTTTTATTTTCTCTTCTTTTCTCTTCTTTTTTCTTCTTCTTCTTCTTCTTCTTCTTTATCTTCTTTATTCTCTAATTTCCCTCATTCTCTCTGTTCCCCGGCCTTTTAATTATTCCTTTCTCTGCTAGTTAGGTGCTTTTAAATTACGTCTCGTTAATCCTCTTGACGAAACTATTTTCCTTTTCTTAGTGCGTTAACCCTCGTTACCTTCGTCACTTTCGTTGAGCATTGTTTAAAGATTTCGAATTGAATGAGAGAACCAATGGTTCAGTTGAGTTGAATTGACTAGAGAGAGAGAGAGAAAGAGCTCTAAGGATGTATTTGCGTACATATTCTTGAACTACCAAGATTCGATAGCTAGCATCATCTGTTCGGTCTTTGAGTAAAGGGGATTAATCATCGGAGTTTCTAATAAATTTACTGCGTACACGTAAGATTATCCAAAATTCGGACGTAATTTTGACGATAAATTACGAGCTACGTCATCACTAAGGGATTATGAAATTCTCATCAAAAGGATTAATCCTTAACATTATATATGTGTTCTTGTTAAATTTCGGGCAAATTCTATTTTGATCGATAGCAACAAAATTACGATAAAAAAAATTCGAGACGTAATTTCGATTATAAGTAATGTACACAATAGTTCGTAATAAAGGATTTCAAAATTATCATTAAATAAATCTATTTCTAATACGTTCCTGTTATTGTGTTTGAATATATTTTATTAAAAACCAATAGCAAAATAATAAAACAAATTTAGACGTAAAATAAACGTTGCGTTTGTACATATATGTTCCTATTAGACGATAAGAAAACAGAATGCAGAATAATGAACAGAATGCATCTATGTGTTAAGATCTAAAGTAATAAATTTATACGCAATATAGGTCTTCAGGTATGACTATTTTTCGAATGAATTTGATTGCATTAGAGATGCAAAAAAAAAGAAAAAATATAGGCGTCACTTCAATTCGTTATCCTAAATAATTTATCTCGAAAAAATACGATAACCGTTTGTTACGAGCCAGTCATAAAAGTTACGAATATACAATAGTTTATTTTTGTGTTTATAATCGTGTACGAACATTCAAGAATTTATCTAAAGCCTACAATACTCGAAGGATTCTTTTCAAGTAAACCAACAACGGTTTATCGCTTTTTCTTCTAGATCTTATTGTTAGTATGGCCAACTCATTCACCTCCTCGTGGTAGGCTCAAAACTTTTTAACTCTCCCCGCGGTGGTCGATTCAAAACTTTACAGCCTCTCTTCTTCTTGGAAGGTTCAAATCTTTTCAGTCTTTCTCGTAGTAGGTTCAAAACTTTTCAGTCTACCTACCCTACCCTCCCCCTCCCTCCCCGTCCCCCAACCTCGTGTTAGGCTCCGAAACTTTTTTTTTTTATCCATTCGCGTATATTTTTTCTATAATTTCTTTTTATCGAATTAAACTGCAAGCACAAAAATAATATAAGAATACACAGAGTATTGGGTCTTATTATTCGTACAATGTATGATCTTGATGGATCCCTACAATTGTGTAGAATTTGAAAAAAAAATGGATGTTTTGTCAACTCTCCGTTTGTTAGTTAATCGAAATTTAACGGTAATAGTAATTATGGAAAGACCATGATGATTGTAATAGATTCGTTGTGGATATGCACATTTCACGTTTTGCGTTAGACCGTGTCTGTCTTGAATAACACAT